CCCCCACCCCCGCCACCAGAAATGCTCATCAGAGGGCTGGAAGCCGATTCAGATTTGTGACCTTTAGACTTTGTGCAGCCTTTTCTGTTTTCCTTTTGTGCATTGTCCACGTATTTTTGTTTAAAACACGGACCAGACAATCTCATTAACAAACTACCACCACGCCCTGAAAAGTCCAGAAGCATCCGTTCACGTGGCGCTGTGTGACAAGTACTGCTTTGCCAGGCAGATTGTGAAAAATCTACATGTCATATGATCCCCTGGCTGAATCAAAGGCTACATTAATACTGGTGTCAGGCTATCTTTGCTACAGCGAGTAAACAGCGGAGGCTTCCAGAAAAGAACTGGTAAGTTCATGCTGCATCTGGGTCAGCAGGTGAGGTCAGACACCGTGGGGTTTAACGCGGGTAAGCACAGTCAGTTTAGCATCAAGATGCTGGCGCTGCCATTTCCTTGCTGGATGAGCCTGAGCACACTTGCATGTTCTGTGTTCCCACTGTGCATCTCTAAGATGAAAATAGGTCCCGAACCGGGTCCTGCTTCCTGCAAGGATTCTGCTTGGGGGCCATTATCCCTACTCTGCAGAGGAGCTTCCTACCACCTTGTGTCTCCTGCCAGCACCACTCAGGCATCCCAGCTCTAAGCAAACAAAGACAGGCCAGGGCTGTGCCATGTGGCTGCTCTGGCAAAGACAGCACTTGATGGACAGCAGACATCAGGCTGGTCACTGGCTCCAGGAATGAGAAAGGGGCCGGCTGTGGGTAGATGATAGAACTAGTCAGACACAGGATTATGGCTTGCCAGCGATGCTAGCTCAAGGGCACCCTGTGTAAGGCAAACACCTGGGGTAGGTCCAGATCAAGGCTTGTGTTTCACCAACAAGAGCATTTGACCTGTTGTAACAAGATAGGAAAGACATTGTCTATGGGACATTCAGGATCCCCCATGTTCGAATGCTACAAAATGACTCTATTGAACTTGGATATCTCAAAAGAAAAAGAAAAGTAGCTTTCATATTTCAACTGAGGAATTTATTTCATTGCTAGAACAAGTCTGTTTGCTTTTGTCCCGGTAAAACAGAGATATATCAAAATCTCTAGCAATCATTTGCACCACTGTGTGTACTAATGCAACCAAACCCTCCAGATCAGCAAATCTTGGGTAGGTATCAGGACCCACTTTAACCTGACTCCAAGTGATCCCTAGCAAATATTGGGAAAGAAAAGATGAGCTTAATAAAGGCTAGTGCCCAGATGATAGAGTGGGGAGGCTTGGAGAGAAGACCAAGAACTCAGAAACCCCTGATTACCCTGAGTTTCTTCCTGACTTAAGCATGATCCATCTGGGACTGAATTCAGTGGCCACCGCTGCTTCTAAGAGAGGACCAGACTGGTCGGTGTGCATTCACTTGGGTTGAACACAGGATTACGGAGCTCCTCTGAGTACCTGGCCCTGTGCTTTGCATGCGGGAGTACAATGGGATTACAACACGGCTCCTGACCTCCAGAAGTTCACAGCTGTGTGCTCAAGGAGGAAAATGAACAGACAAATCTGATGTAGGTTTTACATAACGTGGAAGAAACATGTAAAAAAAAAAAATGCTTCATGAACAGAGATGAACGAAGAGTCGACCCTAACTGGAGAAGCCAAGGAGGAGGGCGCTTTGGGGTGAGCTCTGGGGACAAGGAGACGTGTTCTGTGCAGACAGAGGAGGTGAGGTCCCAGACTGTGGAAGAACAGGGTTAATGAGAACTTGAAACAAATAAAATCTCATGATTGATTAATGAAAACTAAAGTTTGTACCAAGTCCCGGAAATACAGAAGGCAAAGGATTTGAGAATCCCAAGGATAATAACCTAGAATCTATCTGCCTGCCAGTTCAGGGGACACGGGTTCGATCCCTGGTCTGGGAAGATCCCACATGCCGCGAGGCAGCTCGGCCCGTGACCTCTATAGCTCCTGAGCCTGTTCTCTGGAGCCCACTCTCCCCAACAAGGGGAGCCACTGCGGTGAGCCTGAGCACCACACCAAGAGAGTAGCCCCCGCTTGCCGCAGCTAAAGAAAGGCTTCCACGAAGCAGTGAAGATCCAGTGCAGCCCCAAATTAAGTAAGTACATGAATATATATTTTTTAAAGAAAATATGATTAAGAAACAAGAGACTCTAAAAATGAACAAAGTAACTCTGGAAATGAGACGAGGCAGTCTGGACACCAAACAGGTGCAGCTGTATATAAACATCCTTATCAGAGAGCAAGTTCAATGCAGCTACGGCGAGGTGAGCATGACCTAAAGATGCCTCGGTGAGAAGCACTGCATTGTGGAATGTACGTCAGAAAGGGAAACATCTGGAATGACGTTCCTACTCACTCTTCCAATTATGACTGTGCTGAAATCCTCTGAGCCTCTAGAACCAGGGCTGACTTTGTCATGGGGTATAGTTGGCAACGTCTGGGGACAATCTGGGGCCTCACAACTGGGAGTGATGGGAAGGCTGCTGCTGGCATCTCGAGGGCAGAGGTTGGGGACACTGATGAGTCTCTGCAGCACCCAGGACATCCCCACAGAGGATGAGCCCGTGCAGAACTCGCCAGGGCCGAGGTGAGAAAGACCCCTCTGCGAAACCTGTCTACCTTGCTCACAAGCTCATCACTGCAAAACCAGCAATCCACGCAGGAAACCAAAATGAGGAAGTGCTCCATAAATTGTAAAGTGCTCAACAAAGACGTTATTTGTTAAAATCCTAGAGTTCCACCCAGGAAGATCAATGACATGCCCGGGAAAGGAGCAGCCCCCCACTCCATGTTCTAGAATGCTAATCTGGAAGCTTGCTCCATCGGTCTGTGTCATCCAGTGTAGGGCACGGCCAGTCACCCCATCACCCGAACCAGAGGATGAGACCGCCAGCCACTGTGTCACGAGCGGGTTCCGTGTGCAGTAACTCCGACTCGCCGTGACACTGCCTCCATAGTGTTCCTGTCTCCCTGCTTTCCAGCTGTTCTCCCCAGAGCATGGTCCTTCAGGGCTTAAGAGTGGGCCCCGCAAGTCACCCGCAGCCTGCCGACTAGCGTGACCTTTCTAGAAGCAGAGCCCGAGGGGTGGGGAGTGGATTCTCCTACATGCAGCACCTCTCCTCCTGGGCCCGCCGCGCCCACACCTGTGTGCATAGGAGCGTCCAGCCTCCGTGGGGCCACGGCCACTGCCAGGGCATCCTTCCTGCCCCCTCCCACCTCCTCAAGATTCAGCATTGCTCCAGGAGGCCTACTGAAGTCTGTGCCCCACAGGTGGTGCCAGGGCGTCCTCCCCGGGGTCCTTATTACCCTAACCTGCTAGATAACCACTCCTGGCCTCTGTTAGCCTCTCACACCCACGTGGACACACTCCAGATGGCCACTGTGCATGGCACCCTGACACGCTGGCTTAAAGGGATTTGGTGATGACTGAAGATATGGGCCTGCATTATCACTCCATCTCTGTGATACACTGTGAATGCTATGAACCAGACGTAGTGAACCCATTTATGAGGTGGAGACACTGAGGCCCAGGGAGGTGAACCAACCATCTGAACTCACACAACAGAACAAGGAGAATTCAGACAAGGTCTGCGTGTCCAGATCCTCACAGATTCATAGCACTACACTAGCTGGGTGTCAAAAGAAGCCACAGGAAGGGCTGCCCACGGTGGGAGACAGGCCAGGGTCCTCGTTTCCCTGGTCACCTGCCCTTGACCAAGAAACGCTCTTGGGGCCGAGATTAGAGCATCTAATTCCGGCGTTAGAGCATCTCACAGACCAGCTCTGGTGGCGGCCTCCAGTGGCTTCACTATGGCCTTGGGGACACACAGCGCGCGTGTCCTTGGCGGCAGGACGCGTGGTCTGGGAGCAGGGAGGCCAGGCGTCCTTGTGAAAACCCAGTTTACTCCAGGGGCCGTGGAGGGACGCCAGGGTGAGGCTCTGACCACGTGCGTGAGCCGGGGCAGGACGTTTGAAATCATTAACGTGCTTGCGCTCGCTGGGTCTTCTCTGATTATCAATTTTAAAGCGGGGAGGGGCGGAAGGCCTTGCGTTCACCGGGAGGTGCCGGCATCTGTAGGACTTCCGGGTTTGCGCTTCGCTGCTGTTTCCACGATGTTATTGGGTTGGGTCCTGTCCCCTCTAAAAACATATGTTAAAAGTCTGACCCCCAGAACCTCAGACTGTGGCCTTATTTGGAGAACAGGGTCACGGCAGGTGTAACTGGGAAGATGAGGTCGTGTTGGAGCAAGGAGGGCCTCCCCCGGCATGACTGGGGTCCTCAAAAGAGGGGCCGCGTGGAGGCAGAGACAGCGGAGGAGGCCGCCGGGACACGGAGGCGGAGGGCGGCGGGGGCGGAGTGAGGAGAGGCGGGGCGGTTCCGCGCCGCCGGGCCTGCACCCCTGACCCTGGACTTCAGGCCTTCAGACCCATCAGACAGCAAGTGCCTGCCGCTGGAAGCTCTGTGTGTGGGGCTCTGTGCCGCTCGCCCTTTGTTATGGAGACAAACATATTCCTCATCCCACAGATTTGCAGTGAACCCTCCTGATGAAGACGGTCAGTGGGGAGGCGCACGACCAAACGGAGAATTTGGGCCAACCCTATGTGCGGAGACGGGGCTGCAAACAGGGAAATAAGGGGCTTTTTCTTGTCAACCCAAGCCCATACATAAACTAGAGAGGAACTTTGAAAGGAAGGGAACTCACAGGAAAGAGGAAACAGGTTAAAACTATGGCAGGAAGGATTTTTGTGACTTAAAAAGGAAAAAAAAACCCACCCTCTTATAATAGAAAAGTTTCTTAAGACCTGGACTGGGTACAAAGGAGAATGTAAACTCCTTGCCAGAATGTTGTTTAGCAAGAAATCTTTTTTTTTTTTTTTTTAACTGGAGGATAATCGCTTTACAATGTTGTGCAGGTCTCTGCCACACGTCAGCCTGAATCAGTCACAGGTACACACATGTCCCCTCCCTTTTGAACCTCCCTCCCACATCCTACCCCTCCACAGCCTTTTGGGCACTAAACGTTTATATTAGCAATGAGAACGAGATAAACACATCCACAAATATGCAGGGACACTCAAAACAAAACAGCAGGGCTTCAGGCTGCACGGCGTGTCGTGTTCTGGGTCTATCCCTCACCTTCTTCATCAGAAGCACACAAGACCAGGCTGGGTGGTGGGGGAGGGCATTCTTGGCAATATGATGGGTTACATATGCAGAGGGGCTTTCCTGAGACACAGAAAACAAAGGGAAACTCCCCTTATTTTTCTCAGAGCATGGCTGAGCCAACAGTGAGCAGGGGAAAACACATTCAGACCAAGAATGAGAATAAGAAGTTCTCCCAAGGTAAGTGGTGTTACGGGCAGCCTTTGTCCTGGAGCCTGTGACCATCCCTCTGGTCTAGACCTGAGGTCTTAACAGGATCTGGAGAATGGGTGGGACTCCGGGGGGGAGGGTGAGGGCTGGAGAAAGCCTGGGTCATGCAGGGCAGCTCAGACCCACCCTGAAGGCAGGACCCCATTGGGGCAGACCGTAAGGTGAGCTGGGAAATTCTCTCCTTGCAGGAGGAGAGTTGCTTTTACAGGTGCGAGCACTGGAAAGAGAAGGAGAAAAGAATTCTCTCTGGTTTCTGCGGCTCCCACACATGATGGCTGGAGGGCAATACTTACCCTCCGTGTGTGACCTGAAAAACTCCAAGCCAGAAACTTCCTTTCTAAAGATCCCAGTTCATAGCAGCAAAGGGGCCATGCGGAAGCAAATGGAAGTTCTCTGGAGGAACATTCTTCAAACATGTCTCAAAGCTTCAACACAGAGAAAATTGTAAGGGATATGAGCTCGCAGTGACCAGTTGCTAAATTCACGAGGAGCTAGGTCACCAGGAGCAAGAGGGAGCAGAGATAACAAGCTGCAGAGTCAGACAGCGTGGAGACTACAGGAACTGAAGCCTTTGTATAATTTATATAAAGTGTGTTTGCTTTAATATGTTTAAAAAACAAAAGGGGGATTGAAGGCATTACAAGGAAATTAGAGATTATAAAATGATTAAGCAGATTTGTAAACAAAAGTGGAACTTTGCAAATAAAATTGTAATAATGTAAATTTACAACAGATTTTATTTTCTTGGGTTCCAAAGTCACCGCATACACTGACTGCAGCCATGAAATTAAAAGGCGCTTGCTCCTTAGAAGAAAAGCTATGACAAACCTAGACAGTGTATTAAAAAGCAGAGGCATCACTTTGTCAACAAAGGTCTGTCTAGTCAAAGCTATGGTTTTTCCTGTAGTCATGTACGGATGTGATAGTTGGAACATAAAGATGGCTGAGCGCCGAAGAATTTGTTTTTGAATTATGATGCTGGAGAGTTCCCTGGACTGCAAGGAGGTCAAATCAGTCAATCCTAAAGGAAATCAGCCCTGAACATTCATTGGAAGGACTGATGCTGAAGCTCCAATATTTTGGCCACCCAGTGAGAGGAGCTGATTCATTTGAAAAGACCCTGATGCTGGGAAGGATTGAAGGCAGGAGGAGAAGGGGGCGGCAGAGGATGAGATGGCTGGATGGCATCGCTGACTCAGTAGACATGAATTTGAGCAAACACTGGGAGATGGTGAAGGATAGGGAATCCTTGTGTGCTGCAGTCCAAGGGGTCGCAAAGAGTTGGACATAACTTAGTGATTGAGCATCAACAACAGTAAGATTAAACAATAGTGGACAAAGTCCGAGAGAGAGTTGATAAAGGAAAAGTTAGATCTGCTGAAAATTGACAGAGTGAAAATCAGAAAGACTTCCAGATCAAGAACCTGAGAAAGTTCATGACCAGTGAAAATATCATGTGGAGAGCCAAACATTCATGGCCAGCAAAGAGGAAATAAAAATCAAGTTAGAAATGAAGTCTTGACTGAAAAAATAGCATAGCAGAAGGAGGGTGATGAAGTTACAGCCTTTTAATGTCCTTGTACTTTTTCTGGAAGTCAGTAAAGACGCAGATTATTTTTAGACTAAGTTAAATATACATGCTAAAATTTCTAGAGTAATCAATAAAAAAGTAAAAATTCACTGTGTCCACTTGTCCGTTGGTATCCATGAACCAGCTCCAAGAACCCCTCGGATACCAGAATCTACAGATGCTCCATCTCTTATATAAAATGCAGTATTACCCCTGGTGGATCCAAGGTTGGTTGAATCCAAGGATGTGGAACCCGGGGATGTGGGAAAGCCAACTGTAACTGCTAAACTAATAGAGTCAAAAGTACAGAACAATAAAATATTCCAGAAGGAAATATAGGAATTCAGAAAAAGCAGAATGAATGGAAAGCACAAGCTGTTGGGAGTGGCAGCCACCACTGACCAGGACATCTCTGCATTCCTCGCCCGTTCATGCTGGCCACACTCAACCCATCTCTCAGGGTTGTGCTTGCAGTGAGCAGCTTTGGGGGATGAGGTAACGTTTTCCTCTAGGACAAAGAGCAGGCTTGCTTACCCCTTGTTATAAACACAAGGTCCCCAGGCTCAGTGATCCTTGCCTGGGATGCAGGTTCGCTATGAGCATAGCATCCATCTGGCCCCCCTTGCAATGCCCCTTTGGGTATTCGGGGGCAAAGGAAACCAGGGGATATGGTGCTCATGCCACTTGAGTGAGGAAGTCCCTTCTCTCTTATCTGGGAGCTTGTGTTTTCCTCCAACATCTCTAAAATAGAAACATGCTAATTATTAGATTGCAAGTAAGGCAAAGTCAAAACCTAGACCTTTTACACAAACTAAAAATGTGGAAAGAAATGAATACATATCAAAAGTTGCAATCAATGTGAATGGGCTGAACTCTCCAGTCAAAAGACAAAAAATGCCAAATTGTTTTAAAATGGATTTAGTTCCAGAGATATTTCTAAAACAAGAGACACAGAAAACTTGAAATAAAAGAATGGGAAAGATATGTCATGCAAATACTAATAAAGGGAAAGATGATGAAGTAACATTAATGTCATACAATGACACGCATGTGAAGATATAAAAAAAATCACTATATATTGATGAAGTTTCCATTCACCAGGAAGACATAATAATTTCAAACTTGCATGTACCACATAATAAAGCTTAAAAATGTATTCATCAAAATTTGGCAGGATCAAGAAGAGAAATAGACAAATCCATTATCATTTGGAGGAATTCCTAACACATCTCTCAGTAAATGAAAAATCAAGCAGAGGAACAAAAATCAGTAAATATTTGAATAATTAAACGATACATTTAAGAAAGTTGACTTAAGGAACAAGTACGTATATCCAACCACTTTAGATTGTGCATTCTTTCCAAGTTCACATGAAATATTTACAAAAAATTGACCACATTATAATCTAGGCACAAAGTATAAAGCAGTAATTATCTAAGAATTAATTTACCAAAAAAAATGAAAATTAATCTCACAAGCACTTGTTACCGCATAGATTGATTTTTCTTCCCATACCACAAGGATCAATTTTATTTCATTAATAACCGCATAAGATTGGAAAATTTTTTAAATACAATTTTAATAGTATTCCCATGTATAGAAACTGATGCTCTATCAGAGGCTTTGTGAAACAGCTGTGTTTCAACAAACATCTCAGAGCTATTCCCAGATCAGTGTCTTGAGCTGTCTTTTCCTACAAAGCCAAGCAAGTTTGCTGGCGCTCACGCAGATCTGTGGAAACAGCCTGATATAAACACCTGAACTGAGCTTGGCCCTTCCCACCGTCTCCCCACACTCCCCACCCCTGCTGCTGGGCTCCAGCCACACGCCCTTCTCTGAGCTCTTGGGCGGGCCCCACTCCTGAGGGTCCTGAAGTCACTGCATAGCCACTAATCCCCATCTGGGCCACACCGTGACGCACCCTCCCTCACAAGGTCAGACTCCACCTGCAACTCTCATACCCAACACCAGTGCTTTAGGACGCTTTCCATGAACCCCAGAGTCAGTCAGGCCCCCGATGAGATGCTCTCAAGGCAATGGCAGTTATTTAAATTATTTAGATTGGAATACTCAGCTGTACCTGTGTGACCATTTGATTAATGCTTTTCTTCCCGATGGACTTCCTTTTTACACAAACTAAAAATGTAGAAAGAAATGAATACATATCAAAAGTTGCAATCAATGTGAATGGGCTGAACTCTCCAGTCAAAAGACAAAAAATGCCAAATTGTTTTAAAATGGATTTAGTTACAGAGATATTTCTAAAACAAGAGACACAGAAAACTTGAAATAAAAGAATGGGAAAGATATGTCATGCAAATACTAATAAAGGGAAAGATGATGAAGTAACATTAATGTCATACAATGACACGCATGTGAAGATATAAAAAAAATCACTATATATTGATGAAGTTTCCATTCACCAGGAAGACATAATAATTTCAAACTTGCATGTACCACATAATAAAGCTTAAAAATGTATTCATCAAAATTTGGCAGGATCAAGAAGAGAAATAGACAAATCCATTATCATTTGGAGGAATTCCTAACACATCTGTCAGTAAATGAAAAATCAAGCAGAGGAACAAAAATCAGTAAATATTTGAATAATTAAACAATACATTTAAGAAAGTTGACTTAAGGAACAAGTACATATATCCAACCACTTTAGATTGTGCATTCTTTCCAAGTTCACATGAAATATTTACAAAAAATTGACCACATTATAATCTAGGCACAAAGTATAAAGCAGTAATTATCTAAGAATTAATTTACCAAAAAAAATGAAAATTAATCTCACAAGCACTTGTTACCGCATAGATTGATTTTTCTTCCCATACCACAAGGATCAATTTTATTTCATTAATAACCGCATAAGATTGGAAAATTTTTTAAATACAATTTTAATAGTATTCCCATGTATAGAAACTGATGCTCTATCAGAGGCTTTGTGAAACAGCTGTGTTTCAACAAACATCTCAGAGCTATTCCCAGATCAGTGTCTTGAGCTGTCTTTTCCTACAAAGCCAAGCAAGTTTGCTGGCGCTCACGCAGATCTGTGGAAACAGCCTGATATAAACACCTGAACTGAGCTTGGCCCTTCCCACCGTCTCCCCACACTCCCCACCCCTGCTGCTGGGCTCCAGCCACACGCCCTTCTCTGAGCTCTTGGGCGGGCCCCACTCCTGAGGGTCCTGAAGTCACTGCATAGCCACTAATCCCCATCTGGGCCACACCGTGACGCACCCTCCCTCACAAGGTCAGACTCCACCTGCAACTCTCATACCCAACACCAGTGCTTTAGGACGCTTTCCATGAACCCCAGAGTCAGTCAGGCCCCCGATGAGATGCTCTCAAGGCAATGGCAGTTATTTAAATTATTTAGATTGGAATACTCAGCTGTACCTGTGTGACCATTTGATTAATGCTTTTCTTCCCGATGGACTTCCTTGGGGGCTCAGACTGGAAAGAATCTACCTGCTGATGCGAGAGACACGGGAGACTGGGGTTCGATCCCTGGGTCGGGACGATCCCCTGGAGAAGGCAATGGCAGCCGCTCCAGCATCCTTGCCTGGAGAAATCCCATGGACCAAGGAGCCTAGTGGGCTACAGCCTATAGGGCTGCAGAGAGTCGGACACGACCAGTGACTGAGCACGCACCCACGCACCCGGGTGTATGTGTGTGACCGTTTGCTGAATGCTTTTCTTCCCGACGGACTGTAGACTCCACAAGGGCAGGAACTGTGTCTGTTTTGCAAACCACTAACCACAGTGCCTGTCATGATGCCTGAACATGCAAAGCAAAAATCTGCTGAGTGGATAGATGCGCAAATGGGGCAGCGGATTGCCAGGCAGAGAGTCACCGTGGCTTTTCAACACAATGTGCTTTGTGATGCGGGACAGACGGAAGAATGAGTGGACTCGGCGAGATCGGCTGCCCACCCCTTCCTCTCCCTCCCGCTTCCTTTCTTTCATCCAGTAATTAGCACATCATCTCCCGTAACTAGGGGCCAATCAGTTATATGCTGAGGACACATGACATCTACTTTCCAAAAAAAGAGGATTCTTTAGCAGGGAACAGATGTTAGGTTCACAATGGTACATCCTGAAGTTCAGCC